TTTTTTTTTGCAGAAGTTATGAACGGTACTGTATGCTATGATTATCTGTTTACATAGTGTCAAAGGTGAAGCTACAAGATAGAAATCTCCACTGTTATTAGAAATTGTGTATATAATTCAATTAATTGAAAACGCGAAAATGAAATCGATTCATTAATACTCCTCAGGTCGAAAGTATGCATTCCATTTCATAGGCTTTGACTTTATTCAGTGACTGGGCCTAAGGATCGGTTATTTGATATCATATTATACATGGCTTAACTCTCAAAGATATCTTTCAACTCACTCTCTTTAAAAAGCAATCATTAAGTGAGAGATTGTGGCGAATGCTATTTTGCCATCCTTGGCGGCGTTTAGGGTCGGCTGCGCGATAGTAAGGGAACTTCGCGTCGATGAACTGAATATGAAGTTTTATTGGGAAAAGAACTGACTACTAGTAAAATTTCTCTACCTATGGACTTGTACTTGTTTGAAAGCAACTATATAAACTCAAATTTGTCTACACATTAAATATAGTGGAGTCTGGGTACGCTATACTCTACACTCTTACTGTAATAAATTTCAAAAGAAAGAGAAATCAAAGGACAAGCCAATCGAATGAGTGTGCTCCGTGTGCGCGGGCGATGTTTTGATGAGAGGGTACGATAGAGAAACGGCGCAAATGTCACTGATGACGGAGTACGGTCGCTTCGATGCGGCGATGGAAAGGTTCATAATAATTTGTAGATTTCTCAAAGAACTATGATAGCGATTGTTGCATATGAAGAAGATATTCAATCCAAAAACGAAATTAAGTGCCTTGTTTTTAAAATACATAATGACGAAATTTGATACAACTTTTTTTTTCTTAGAAAATGCAATGCATTTAATTAAGAGACCTTTACCTTATAGATCTGACTGAGTGTTAGCCGCTTTTCAGGCGAGGCTTCTATGGCCATAGCAATGAGAGCAACGTAGCTGTAGGGGGGTTTCTCGTTTTCATTTCCCTCTTCTCTGAAAAAATAACGTTAATGTTAAACAGAAATAGCACAATAACATAACCATATACATCATATATTAGAAGTGTACATAATACAATAATTAAAATTGAATATGACTGTAATAAGTTGATTCAATAACTGGGAAAAGATGTTTAATTTGTTCAGGACCGTTGACTTGGAGTATTTTAAGGAAATGAGTAAGTAGCGGCAATTGTAGAGTTAATTTCTAGTCTCTTATATTAGTCAAAGGCTATCTATTTTACGCCTTATGTATTTGCATGTCACATGTACTAAAGTCTCAAGATAGCTTTGGACTGGCTATCGTCTTTTGCATTGCTTCACGAACAAAATCCGCCTTTTTTGATCTGATTCACTTGTGCATTTAAACAACCACAAAGTGAAAGCATTTGATTTTTTTTTTGTGAATTAATATGACACACTCTGACACAACTGCTACCTTCAAAGAACTTTTGGCTCAAACTATTCGAGAGGATTAATGTAAGACATGATATATAATAGGAATAACTTTTGAACGAGAAAACAACAGCTACTTGACATTTGTGTTAATCGCTTCCTGAATAATTTGGCTACGCATTCAAATTTAGTAATTTGATTCTCTCAACTATTTCCTTGTCGTCAAAGTTTCATATTTGCGACGTAAGAGAAACATATTGAGGTAGACAAAAGAAGAAATAGTTTTACTTTCTCAAATAGCAAGCTAAGAACTAGAGTACTACATATCGACATCTTTCTTGTCATCTTCTAATGTTATCGCAGGTTTATCTCAGTTTTTTTTCTAGCTACTAGCAATGCTAGTGAAATCTAACAAATCACTTTCTTAAGCTTCTATGGGCCCTTATTTACAACTGCTGTCGTTTCAATTCCCTTTACGGCATTTATGTAACAAGTTGTTGAACAAAATAGTTACTCCCATATTGCAGTTACTAACTAAGTGGATGGTTAAAAGTTTATGAAGAAAAATAAAATTGAGTTCGCTAATTTTCTGACTCAAGCTACACTACAAGGCTTTAGGCATATGAGAATCTGGGTAAATGAAGATCAAAAGTCTTAGAGCAGAAGAATTGAAATAGCGTGGCGTTTTCAAAGTTTTGCTCTAGCTTTACTCTTAAGGATGAGATCTGAGCTAAGATGATACCTAAATGATAAGGGAAGGAAAGCAAGATACCATGCATAAGAAATTCTAATTACTTTTATCAAAAACATACAAACTCGAATTTCGCGAACGACGTATCATTTTGATAGCTGAAGCAAGATCAATATTGAAGTCTGC